TATCAGACAAGCAGCAAGGAAGTTCCAAAAGACAGTGATACCAAGCAACTGAAGCCGAGATTGAATAATTTCATGTTCCCGCAACATAGCCGATGGACCAGGTGATTGACCATCTCCTTCTCCGGGTTTTGATTTTGCCGGAGGCGGCTTCGACTTCCCTCCAGCCTTCGCCCGATTGTCCAGTTCAGGATCAGTCGCTGCCTTTATTATTCCATCGATTAAAAAGAGAGCTTTTGTAACAATCTACAGCCGGGAGAAGTTATAGAGAATGCAGGCAACCCGACGAAAAATACATACCTGAGAAATCTGAGGAGAAGAAGCAGTGACTCCCGGAATCCATCCGGGGACAGGAAAAGTCTTTGGAGGAACCTGCGCGGTTTCTACGAGGTTGCTCACAGGATTAAAAGTCTCCATGACAGCCGAGCTCGGCTTTCTGAAGTAAACTTCATGGAGAAACGCACAAGTTTGCAGATGCGTGTCAATCTACCAGGAAAAAGTACGAAAAGCTAGAACGAGAATCTAGACAAAAACTCACTTCTGTTTGAATCAAATTGGTGAAGAGAGAGATACACGACGACGTTCTTTGCGCAATCCAATCAGCGAGTACTTTTTTGCAGTTTTCTTGAGCTTCCTGTAAACTGGTGTTTACAAACACCACAAGTTCAAATTTATAGGCTTACCTTCAGCCTCTGGTCACAAATAGTACGAAGTTGCTTTGCAAGGTCGTCCACCGTCTTCTTCAGAGTCTGCTTCATCTTCGGTTGACGACGTTGGTCGATTTCAATCCGGTTATACTTCGCCTGAAGTAGAAGTGAAGTTACTTTTGACTGGGATGCAGCCATGTGAAGGGCGTCACCTGAAAATCATCGAAGGTCTTTTGTTTATTATCTGGCCTCTTCAAGAACACTCCAAAATTCATTTTGATCTGCACAAATTTCAGCAACCTGTAAAAGAACAGCCGTGGTGCGCATCTAAACATACCTCCTGCAGGATATTACGTCCATTGACACGTTCCACTCTAAGGCTATGAAAGAGGTTTTTAAGGCATGAGAAGTAGAGGGACTCTATTTGCTTCCAGCTTGAATGGAAGGTAACTGCAAAGCACAAATACAGACATAAGAAACGGCAAAGAGAACAATCGAACAAAAACCTGCGGTGCTTAGATCAATTTCTGGATATTCGGGAGCAGGTTCAGCAGCAGCTGCTGTTTCGCCTGAAGAAACATCCTGCAGACATAGTAAACGTAAGATACAACATCGACAAATAAAAAAGTCTAGCCTTACCTGTGCTTCTTCCGGTTGTTTACCCTTTGCAGCTGCTTCTTCTGGTTTTTCCACTTTGGCAAGGTCAGACGATGCAGCCTCAAAAGCAAAACCAGCCTTTTGAGATGCAACACTGGCCCGCGAAGCGGCTTGTTTTGCGGCTTCTGCTGCCGCTTCTGCATCGGCTTTTGCTTGAAAACAAGCATCTGCCCCACCGACTGCTTCCTGTGCTCTCGTTGCTGCTTCTTGAGCCTGAGCAGCTGCCTTTTGAGTAACTTCCAGAGCGTTTTGGATCTCCTTTAAAGCTTTTACTGCCTCGTTGAGTTTCTGGCCAGCCATTGTACTTGCTTTCACCCGTAGAGTCTCTTTAGCCAAAGGATCAGCGGGAAATGATTCAAGCACTGCTGCCGCTTCGATCTCGCCAACTTTGGCGAAGTACAGCTGTTTGCTAGCAATATCACACCCGACTTTTGCCTTCTCGGTTTCTCCCAATGCGAGATTCGTAGCCTCCTCGGCTTCTCTTGCAGCTTTAGCGGCTGCAGCCGCGGCGTCGGCCTGAACTCTTGCAGCAACGAAGTCCTTTACTACGTTGCTCGCATCCTCTGGTTTCACTTTGCCATGCTCCTCCATACCAACCCAGAAGGCGTTTAAGAACTTGCTCATCCACGACGTTAGAGCCGGCCAGAGGTGCAACCCTTCCACAATTCTAATACGGGCTAGATCCGGTTCTTCGACAGGTTGCAGGCGCGAAGCAATACCACTGTAGTAGACAAAAGTTATACTGGCGTCAAGAAATTACTTTTCAATACGTACGTCTTATCAGTTGGCGGAGGTGGATCGTAATCAAGGTGATAGAACAAGCCAGTCTTGCTATCGACACGCTTTCCTAATGCTTTGTTCAGAGCTCTTTCTTCGTTTGGACATTCCATTAGAAAGATACCATCGAGGCCTGAAACAAACTTGTCTACCTTTATCTGTTGGAAGTTTTTCAGTTAGAGCAGAGACCATTTTAACGCAGCACTTACAATAGGGGGCGGAGGTGCCAATACAGATGCCTCCGCCTCGTGTCGAGCTGTAAACTCAAAGTCAAGTCCTGTCAAAGCCTTTTCAAGTGCCGCCGCTTGCCCAGCAGTGTTTGGAAATCCATCTAGAATGAACCCTGTGACGTTTATTTCAGGCTCGGCACCTTTCCCGCCCTTCTTGTCCTTGGGAGGAGGTTTCTTGGGTGGAGCTTTTTCATCCTCTGAGAAATAGAGCTGTTGTTATTTCAAGCTTCCAACGTAGTAAATACCAGTTGCGTGAAGATTGCTTATGGTCATGACAAGCAAGGTCACCATCACTTCGTCTGGTACCTGATTAAAACAAGCTGTTGTGTAAAACAAACTTTAGCTTTAGAACATACCTGTTGTCCCTGTTGCTTGCACTGTTTGGCAGCTTTTCCCAGTTGCGCCTTAGTTGGTGGCGGGGGTGGTGTTGGCTGCACCTCTACAGTTTCAACAAGGCTTGGGGCACCTTCCGCTGGAACTGTCGAAGGTTCAACTTCGTTAACCGGCGCTGGAGTATCCGGAGCTGGTGTCTCTGGAGCTGGTTCCGCGTTGACTGGTTGGTTTGCTTCTTCTACAAACTAAAGCGTTAACACTAACAGTAACAACATAGATATATAAATATACCTGCTTCGGCTTCTGCTATGGCAGCAGCCAGAATTTTATCCATTTCAATTGTTTTGATACCAAATTCGGTGGCGATTTTTGTCGCAATAGTCGACCTCCCTGTGGTAAGTGATAAGTGATGAATAAAACACGAACTGTTACCAAACATGAACCTGAATATGGAATTCCAACGGTTGCCAGCTTCAGCGTCCATTCAGAGGAGTGTGGTATGGGCAGCGGTTTTGGTGGAACATCCGCCATTGTGTGAATAATATGCAAGATAATCCCAAGCTCTTTGTTCTTGCCAATCGGCTGAACTCCATTCCATTCACCTTGTTCTTGGAAGTATTCCATTGCAGCAGCCTGTGAACACATATGGTATAAGAATTGTTATCCGGGCCTCTCGCTATTTACCTCGTCAGCGATGCGATTCTCCTCTTCCGTTTGTGACTCGGTAGAAATTATATCGCTGCATAATGGACTCGGCATAATAGCCCCCTTCACAAACAGCGTTTGCCACTCGCGCCATTCCAGCATAGGAAGGTCACTATTAGTGCTTTCCCGATAGCAAGCCCGGCTCTCAGCCAGACTTGTAATCTGAGAACATAGCGACCATGTTAACAAGAGCATTACTTGTTACTAGTCGCTTACTTGAAGAATGACTTCCCGGCACATCTCCCTATGCCTCGTTTTCCTGTTTTCGGCTTTCCTTTTCTTTTCTGCCTGCATCAGAAAAACATTAAGCTTAAAGCCAATGTAGTCACTCAAGCACCTCCACAAGTTGATGCTCGTGTTCGACTTCATCAAAGCAGTCTTGCCGCATCATTATGAGCAACTCCCTGTCACGAGCAAGAACAGCATCCCATTCCCGTTGCCTCTGCTCGGCTATTTGCAACTCGAAGTTCCTTCGATAGGCAAGCATGCTCTCTAGCTCAGCTTCCTGCATTCGAAGAATTTCAGCTTGCCGAAGTTCTTCTTCCAGTCTCTTTTGGACAGTCTGTTCTTCCTCCTCTTTCTTCCTAGCTTCTTCTGCCTCTTTTTGCCTCTCCAGTTGTTCCAGTTCTTCCTACAGGAAACAGAATGATTAAGAGCATCAGCACAAAAACATGACGTTTCTACCTTTCGTATGTCTTGACGATGCTGAAATCTGCCAGCATCCTCCCTACCCTTCCGAGCTTTGACATCTTCAAGGTAAGCTTTCCCTTGCTGTTTAAAAACAATAAAATGGGAGCAGACATGTAGGTAAAGCTTACCTGGGCAATAACAGCAGGATCAAAAACGGCAGGAGGTCCCTCCTTTTTCCCTTTTGACGGAGGCGGCTTTTTGGCTTTTGGATCAACAGCTTCCACCTTGGGCTCCGCTCCAAGTTCGTATCCCTTACTTTCAAAGGCTTGTATGTCATCTCTCGTGCTTTCGCTTACACCTTCTTTGCCATACATTCGCTTTGTTATATCCTGAAATTGCCAAAAGACCGGGGATGCTCAGAAATCATCAACTCCAGAGCAGAACTTAATAAAACCTTTGTAAAATCTTTCGTTCTGTAAGTTGATTTGGAGAGAACTTACAGACCCTTTGATCCACCACAATGAAGGATGCCAGATCGAGCTGCTCCGCATTTTTCCAGGCATCCTAGATACAACAAGCATAAACTCGTGAGCGACAAAAGAAACTCGAACGACCTGCCTTTAAGTGAGCATAGACAGCGAAGTTATATGTCTTTTGTAACCGGCTCTTTTCCAGCTTCTTTTGGAACTCCTGGAATGAAATCACAGGAGAAGTCGAGCTGGAGAAGCGTGCAAAGAAGATCTTCTCACATCATAAATGATCTTGTGCTGCCGCTCTCTCATCTCAAGGGCAGTCGCGAGCTTCATCCTATGATACGCATCCCGCGCTTTCTCCTGGAGTACCACATTTCTCTCAGGCAATGGCCTGGACACCGGCGATCACTCATACCTGGCGCTTCTTCTCCTCGGCGAAGCGCTTCACAACCATCTCCTCACGCCGCACCTTGGGGCTGGGCTCGTAATCCGGCCCCGGCGGCCTCCACGGGATCATCCCGCTGGAGCTGTCCATCGCGCGCAAGAGCGTAAGACCCTAAATTCCAAAAAGTGTACACACACAAACACGCGAAACTACTTGGAGACGAAGCATATTCCAATCTCTCCAATCCAAACAAGTTTATAGAATATTTGAGGATGATGATCCAAAGAGGATCCCGTCATTCGTAGCGGAGGAAGGAGATGAAGCAATCGAAGCTAAGCACGACGTACAATCCCAGATTCACGGGCGTGGTGACGGCCGCATAGCCCGTGATCCCCCGGAAATCCCCAGTGCCGGCGATGATTGGGAGCTCCCTGGTGGGCTCGAGCGCCTTGTACGAGCCGTGGAAGACGATCGTCCCATTGTATTGTGGGTTCTCCAGATACGCCGAGAAGGAGACGAGCAAGTGGAAATTCGATCGCGACTCCACCAAGTACATCCCCTGCCCTCTTCCCACAACCTTGGAAGTGTTGGAAGTGGTCTCGGTGATGGGATCGTCGATGACGAAGACGGTCCCAAAGTCGTAGCGCGTGAGATTGCCGCCCTCCGCCGCCACCTCCACGCCAGTGTTGTTGGCGATGAGCTGCCGGTCTTGCATGAAGAACTGGAGGCGCCGCGGGACCTTGCTCGAGGCAGCGGTCACTCGAGGAAGATCTAGTGCCAGGAAGCTCATTGCCAGTGCCAGGATCGCTACTGCTGCTGCCATGGCTCCTGCACTACTCCAAGAGGAAGAGGAAGAGGAAGAGGAAGAAGAAGATGCCATTGAGCAAACTTGCAGTGATTCCACTCGCTCTTTGATACTCGCGAGAAGTCAAAGCTCACGGGGAGAAAGAGAATTGAGGAGAAAGGAAGGGATGGCCTCAAACTCGCTGGTTGAAACGTTTTTTAAACTGTACTGGCGCTGGGATAATGGCAAGAACATGTCCATGGTTTTTAAAGTGGAGCCTTTTACCCTAGCTATGGGGGGAAATTCGGGCGTGGCGTCACTCGTCCTACTTCCCACCATCGTCGCGTACGCTTGGATTCTCTATGGATGCCCACCGCCGCTGCCATCGCCATCGCCATCGCCACCGCCACCAGTGGCAAGGAAGTCACTGTCCGTGTGGAGCGCGGCAGCCCATCCTTTGCTACTTCTCAATGCTTTCTTCTTTGTCAATGTCAATGTGGTGTTTTGGATCATTAGCCTCGTCCAAGGGAGCACTTGGGTAAAGTTAGCCACCGTTCATCCTTTCGATCCACTCTCATTCTCCTTGTCTTGTTTGGATCTAGCTCATCGACCCATACTGGGCTTTCCTGCCGGTCTTGATCACGCATTTCCTGGCGGCGCATCCCTCCGCCAAGTCCGACCCGGTGAGATCGCGAGTAGTCACCGCGCTCGTCTGGGTGTGGAGCGCCAGGATCACGCACTCGTACTTCCGGCGGGAGGATTGGAAGCTGGGAGCCCGGGAGGATTGGAGGTTTGCGGAGATGCGCGAGCGGTTCGGCCGTCACTGGTGGTGGATTTCCTTCTTCGCAGTCTACGTCTCGCAACAGGTACTGTAACTCCTCTAGCGCTGTTCTTTCTGACGCCACCTTTCTCTGCGAAGGTTTTGCTGGTGGGCATTTGCCTTCCCGTCTATGCCGTCTTCCAAAGCCAGCTTCCATGGCACCACCTTATCGACACCACCATCGCCATGCTCTGCGTTGCGGGGATTTCCATCGCCTGCATTGCCGACACCCAGCTCCACAGCTTTGTGAGCAGCAACAAGCTCCGGAGAGAGCGCGGGGCGCAGCCAGTCGCGGTTCTGGACGAGGGTCTGTGGCGCTACTCCCGGCATCCAAACTACTTCGGCGAGCAGCTATGGTGGTGGGGGCTGGCGATGTTTGGCTCGAGGCTGGGCTTCTCTTGGACGATGCTGGGGGCCGTGATCAACAGTGCTTGCCTCGCCTGCGTCACGGTCATGGTTGAGAGGAGAATGCTGGCGAAAGAGTCGAGAGCGGCAGCTTACAGGAGTTACCAGAGACAAACGTCGGTGTCGATTCCATGGCCCAAGCTTTCCAGGTTTACAGACTGATGGATCACGATGGATGGCCTACTTGTCAAGAGTATACTTCTTCTTTCCAGGAGGGTTCTTTCTCTGACATGTTTCACTTCGATTATAAATGTCCAATTCAACAGCGACCAGCGACTGCTCGTGTCTCGATCCACGATCTCGAGCCAAGTTGGACACGGCTTCGCCCGACTTTGATCACCATGAGGCGAGCTTTGACAAGGTCCAAGATGTGATGATCTCTCCTCTAATTGACGCTCCACCAAAGGGAAGATAAAAATGTCGTTCATCTGGGATGAACATAAAAAGGGAAGGAAAGTGAGTTGCACGTCTTTGTCGACTGCTTGTTGTCGCTTTTGCACCGCCATCGCCATCTTCGCCTACGCGCTATGAAGTCATGGTGTTTGATCGCGCCTTGAATTCGCTCTGGGTTTAAACTGCGAATTTTCTCCAACACGGTCCCAGTGACGAGTGATTTGTCCCCGCGAACAAACGCTTTCTAAAGCTCGAGAGAAATATCTTAGGCCATCGCTTTCCATCAATTACATATTAACAACCAACTCAAGGAACTGCGATGACACCTTCGAACCTACGGTCTGGGGAGCCATCGTCTTCACTCTTGCCTGCACTGCTTTGCTTTGGTTTCGCTCCAACGTTTTGGGAGAAGCCATAGCCAAGAGATGTACCACTTTTCTTGGTAAGCTGCACGCGCACAGAAAGACAAGAAGTGAAAAAGAATACGCACTGGAAATGGTACCTCTGTCAGCTCTGCAAGATGTCTTGATCGAAACTCGTTTATAGTGGAGGCTATTTCAGATGCGGGAAGTTTTGCCTAGATATATACAACAATGCAAAAAAAACATGAGACAACATCAAGTGTAGGCTGATTACCTCGGCAAGTACTGCTGCCGCCAACTGCAAGCTCGGTTCCAACGTCTCGGGAACCACCTGTAATGCCAACCAAAACCCAAGGTGACTTTTTGCGTAGAAGGGCCAAAGCGACTTACAGCGGTTGCTCCTGCTTTCTCCAGGTTGATGCCGTGATCGACGTCATGAGCACGCACATAAGTCTTGACTTTGGGAAAATATTTGCTCAGAGCCCACACAGCCCTGTAGTTTGCTCCGGGGGTGTCGAGAGTGATCACCGCAGCAGCTGCCCTGTCGGCACCGAGCTTGTGTAGCACCTGAAAAGCAACGCTTTGTGGAAAGAACAAACAGCAGAGTGCTGGAAACAAAACAAACCTCTTTACTTCCGGCGTCTCCAAAGTAAACAGGGAGATCGAGAGCTCGGCCCATGCTTACACGCTCACTGCACACGACGATTTAAAAACCGGCTCTTAGAAACCAAGCACCAACCTTCGGACATCAAGCGCAACGAAGGGAATCAGTCGCTCCGACAGCATTTGCGAGATGATCTGCACAATGCGACAAACGTTCTAGTGATTCTGTGAAGGTTCACAGCGAAACGCACCTGGCCGACTCGACCAAATCCACAAACTATCATGTGGCCTTCTAGATCATCCGTCTGCATGCGGACGTACGTGTATTGGGCTCTTTCGAGTTAAACATGAGAAATACCTCGTTCTCTGCAGGTAGCAGGCTTCGGACGTCCTGCTGGTCGAACTTTGTTGAGATTATTTGTCCGGCCGCAGCAAGCCAAGGAGTTAATGCCATGGACAAGCCAACAATCAGGAACATGAGGGAAGATAGCTGTTGGCTCATGATTCCCTGCACGACATTTGCAAAGCCAAGTTAAAGCTGATTGCTTGAAGCTGCGTACCTGGTTCACTGCTTCGCCGAAGGCAACAAAGGCAAACTCCCCGCCAGGAGCAAGTAAAAGACCAGTACGAAGTGCTGCTACACTAGAAAGACCAAACTGACGACCCAGACAAGCTATCAACATGGCTTTGCCAACAATCAGCAAAGCCAATGACCCCAGGATGATGTTGGACTTGGCTAAAAACAGCTGCGGATCTATAGACATCCCAACCTGCAGGTGTTACGCCAGATAATGAGCTCGGAAGATATTGTTCTTAGAGGAAACCACTTACTGTCATAAAGAAAAGTCCCAGAAGAAGACCCCGATATGGTGCAATATCGGATTCAACTTGTAGAGCGAACTCGGTTTCTGACAAAAGGAGTCCAGCAAGAAACGCGCCAAGGGCCATAGAAAGCCCGGCCTGCACAAAGCAAATTACTCAGCTAACCAAAACGAAAGTTTTCAGGTACCCTGGCAGTGAGAACGCTAGTTCCAAGAACAACGAGCAGCGTGTTTGCCGCAAATATTTCGGCATTGTGATTTTCAGCCATACTCCGGTATATAGGACGAAGAAGCTGCAATTAGCACAGATTAAGTTCGTCCCTCGATTTTACGTATTTTAGCAAAAGTACTAACCAGTCTACCACCCGCAATTATCCCACTGATGGCAATCACTCCTTTCACAGCCGCTATTCCAAGTGCTTCGGCAATCGCGTTGAGTCCAGCCTAGATCGCATCAACATAAGACAGGCACGAAGTCGGATTCACGACTTACCCCGCCTCTTGACGAATTTGGTGACAGGAGAGGTATCAGAATGAGAAGAACTACGACTGCCAGATCCTGAAACCGATTGGAAGTTAAGTTAATCGAATAGAAGAAAACTTTGACCTCACCTGAAAGAGTAAAACTGAAAATGCCGAACGGCCATGACGAGATGTGCTTTCACCACGCTCTTGGAGCACCTGAAAAAGACAAAGATTACTCTATCGCTTAGAAGAAATATCCTTCACGTACCTGCAGGACGACGGCAGTGGACGAGAGCGCCAATCCATTGCCGATTACAATAGCAGCAGGAAGTGTAAGTCCTGAGACGTAGTACGCAAACAAGCCAGACGCTAGTGCCGTAGCCAAGACCTGTAGTAAAAAGTTAGAATAAGAAAAGACAAGTGGGGAATGACGTACCTGACTCGATCCAAAGCCAAAGACATATTTTCTCATCGAGCTTAGTCTTTCCACTGAAAGCTATAAAACAACGACCAGAAAGTACACGTTAAGTGGTATTGACGAAGAAAAAGCAGCAATACCTCGAGGCCAATGTTAAAAAGTAGAAAGACGACGCCAAATTCAGCAATAGCTTTGGTTCCGTGTACGTTTCGGATTATATGGAGCGAGTGCGGACCAATTAGCACCCCAGCGGCCAAATACCCGAGGACAGGACTTCCTGTAAGACTTAACAGTAAGAACACATCCGAGAGAGTCAGGAGCAGTTGATTTTCTTGTCATTGTAAAACGCATGTTCTACCTCCAGGAATCTTTTGAAAAACGGGAACAAAGACCACGCTGGCCAAGAGCAGCCACAAAACATCAAAGAGAGAGGCCTCCTCTTCATTGACCTGCACATCATGCAATACAAACATTAAAGACCATGCATGCACTTCGACCCATACCTCTTGCTTTGACAATTTGTCAATCACGACCTTGATCCTGGAGGGTAACTTGTCTAGTTTTTGCAAGAGAGGTTTAGCACTTGTGGCGACATAAGCCTCAGAGGAATGAATAAGCTGGCTAGCTTTTTCTGCTCTGCCAGCGACAAAAACCGCTCTGACAAAGAAAAACGTGTTAAAAAGCTAGAAAACAATTGGATGATAATCAAACTACGTACCCACCAAGGAGAAGTACTCCACCAATGGCAACTTTAAGAATATTTTGTCTGACCGATAGCAATAACCCTGAGAAGAGTGAAGACGGCGAGAACTCTTCCGCTTCGTCGAACGAAAAGAAGGACGCTGGAAAAAACCGAGAAGATTTCTTGGTAAAGGACTTGAGATTCCCGACCTCGGCTGCTTTCGTGTCTGATTTCTGTGAGAAAAGCCCGACTGGAACCTCTGGTAGTTCTGCCTCGGATTTCTCCATATTCGTCTTGGATTTAACGGGAATAATCGGCTCTTTGTCCTTGATCTCCACTTGAACGAGCTCCTCTACTGCTTCGGTGGTGGACTCTACCATCTGAGCAGCAACCAAGGCATTTTTCTCGACGGTGGCAGTGGTGGTGATGGTGGTGGTCGAGGTCGTGGTAGTGGCCGTGGTAGTAACCGTGGCGGCAGGAGGTGTTTCAGCCTTTTGTAGAGCAATCTCTGCATCGTTGAGACGCTGTGCTGCCTCGAGTTCCACCGCCACGGCTTGCTCCGCCAGCGACATCGCTTTGGCAACATCGTCCTCGGCAGCGAGTGCCACGGCTTTGGCTGCGTCGGCAAGTGTCTCCAGGCGATCAAGCTCGGTCTGAAGCTCCGGATAAGCGTTCTCCATTCGAGACACCTCGAGCTGGCAGTTTCGAAACGCTTCCTCGGACTTTTGGAGCTCCAACCACGCAGACTCCAGAAGAGCTTGCTGTTCCTTCACTTGCTCGGACGGACCCTCAGCCGTTTCCTCGGCTCTCGTTCTCGCTGCATCCAGCTCTTGCTCCACCATCTTGATGTTCCTCTTGGCAGCCGATAGCACCACGCTTTCTTTCTCCACGGCTTCTCTGGCCGCGGCCTCTTGAGCGTGGAGTTTGTCGATGGCGGTTCTGGCATTGGCAGCAGCAGTGGAGATGTTGGTAGCCTCATCGCCCAGCGCAATGGCTCGCTCGGCAAATCTCTGTGCTTCGCCTTCGAGCTCCCTGCTGTGCAACCTCGCGCGCTCCAGCTCCGAATGAGCGATTCTCGCCACCTCTTTGAGGTACGCAAGATGCACGTCCTTGTCCACCACTCCCTGCTGCTGCTGCTGCTGTCCTCGTCCACCTCCGCCATCGTCGCCATCCCGGCCACCATCGTCGCCATCTCCGCCAAAAGCCGCGGACAAGCCATCGCCTCCATCGCCTCCAACAGCGCCGCCATTGTCTTGGTCGCTGCGTAGCAGCGCGGATTGGTTGCCGTTGCTGGAGCAATCGAGCGATGAATGCTGGCGAGGATTGAGACGACGGCGATGGATGAGCGCTAGCTGACCCACTAGAAGGGCTCCAAGGCGGCCCCTCCTTCGTCTACTGCTACTACTGACGCTAGTGATGCTCTTCCTTCTCCAGCCACGACATGGAGCTGCGAGTCTCCAATCCAATGCCAATTGTACCTGGCGGGGCGACGCTACCAGGTCGCAGGAGAGAAGCATCAGGGCCGATCGCTCGCTCACTCCAGGAAGCCCTAAACCTCCTTTTAACACATTCGTCTTGATAGGATTATAGAAACCCTAATCCATTGGATGGATCAGGCATGGGTGTTGTTGGCCGTCCCTGGCCTGGCTGTAGCATTCCTGGGAGCGCTTCTCGTGAGCTATAGAGACAACGTAGAAGATCAAGCAATGTCTGTCATCCCACTGCGGATTGGCTGCTTCGGAGCTTAAGGATTTCTTGGAAAACTTGGTAACTCACGACTCCCTTCACTACCTGAGGTGAGAATCATCCAATTCGATTGACTTACTCTTAGGAGCGGCACCGAGCTCCAGAGGCGGTACGTACGCACGTATGGAGCTTACTTATTCTTTCGATACTTTTGGTACCACTTCCAAGCTCGCGAGAGAACTGATGTGCAGAACTACTTCGACGTCCAAGCTTCTGAGGAAGTCAGGAACGCGTTCTCCACTGATATGGTGACATCTCCCATCTTTCATCTCTTTGTATGGCAGCATCATGACATACAAGAAGTTCTTGGAGGACAATTCCAGCGAGCTTTCCACTCAGGTATAAGATCAAGGTTTTGTGATCCTAAAAGTTCTTACAGCTTTCAATCTTTTCACAGATCAATCATGTCCAAGGTTGGTTCCTGGCTCTGTACTATCTTCTCAGCCAGCCTCAGGGAAGCCCAGGCCGTGGCGAGGTCATGAAGCGGGTGCTCTACATGAGAGATCTGTGTGCAAACCTTGATCCCAGCACAGTCTACTACTTCTCAAACCCAGATTTTCTTCCAAGCGGTGAGAAGATCGCACAAGCAATGGCAAACGTCAACAAGCCCGTGGGGGCGCTCGAACGCGTCCGAGTAAGCAAGGAGGAGATCAAGGAAACTTTGAGCTGTGATGTTCCCAAGGATCTTGAATACTGACTGAGATAGCATTTCCTCTTAAGTTGACTTCCGTGTTTTGATCAAAATCAAAGTGAACTTACAATTTATGTCACTGCCTTCCGGTGCACCACAGCCGCACTGTGTAGCCAGATCAAACACCAAAAGATGTACCTTGAAGGAACTTGCGGTACGCTGCTCCTCATGTAAGCTCCCACAGAAAATCTATGTCGTCGCTCTCCGAAAAATCATCAAGTCTTAAGATTCCTTAAAACCAACCAGTTAACTATGGTGACTGATGTTCTACCTAGCACCGAGCTCCAGAGGTGCTCACGCATGGAGCTTACGGATTCTTTCGATACTTTTGGTAACTCTGATCAGATCCTACTGTCCTAAAAGTTTTTGGTGATTTAATAAAGTAACATTGAGTTTATTTTTATGATCTTTTATTTACTTTATTCATTCATTCATGTAGTCTCACAGGAGACCGATATTTGACACTCTTAATCTTCCTTGCGATAAAAGCCATTGGCCAAACTCAAAGGAACATCTCTTTCTGATTCACCGTCACTTAAAATTGCATGGATGTTGTATGCCGACACACCATCAAAGACCCCATCAATGTGGTTTTCAGAGGGTCGATCAATCCCGTTGGCACCCCTCTCCCTGCTCGTATAAGTGAAGGGGACACGCATCCGTGCAGTGCTCGCGAACACGGTGGCTTTGGCCTACATCAAGATAATCCATTAGTATAAGGAGCCAAATGAAACTCGAAACGTACCGTCATTTGAGGCTTGACATTACGGACAACGTACTCTGTCTGGAATTGCACGCCTTCCTGTGCTGTTTCACCCCACTCCCTACTAAAGTTTTGCTCAGCGCCGATCTCGATAGTAGTCTGATTTGCAGCGATCCCGGGGATGCCGGCTGTGAACTCGGTGGAAATCTTCTGGGTGATGGTGTACGAGTTTGAGAATGTACTCTGCGTGGAAAGATTCTGGAACACAGTTACAGTGACAGTCATGTCTGCCGGCTCGTCCCGCCTATTGATCACCGAGCCCTCGCCAACCATGAGTAACCTCTGATCCATGGTGCTAGCCAACTCGAGAAGGTACTTGACGTTGAAAATCGATCGTGAGAGCGTAGCTTCACTGATGATAAGACGCGTTGTTACATCGTTTGTGCCATTTGCACTAGCGGACAAGCAGTTAGTCCAATAGTTGGTCAGCCTCTTGCATATCCTGTTGTTGGATTTGCTCGTGAGGGCCAACATTTGGGTGCTCAGCCTTATGGGCCAGAAATGGCATCTCGAATCTCCTTCCACGGCTCCTTGGAATTCTGCCCATACCCACGAATTGTTGTCAAGAGCCCTGTTGCGCCAATAAGCTTGTCTGTGAATGTTGTAGAATGCCAAACTGCCATCCACCATCTGAAAGACCCTGTTGATGGCCTCATCCCTGGACAAATCGTTTTCCTGACCACTGAACTGGAGCCACCAGTTTTCGTTGTTCCATTCCTTGCGTACAAGCAGAAACTGGTCATTGTCTCCCTTGAAGGTGATGAAACGCGGGAGGTGAATTGCATGCTCGGAACCATCGCTCACCTCAACTTGGGTGAAAGGGTCAGGCTGAGATTGCACGGCGTTGTACCCACGGATGCCGGCGTCGTAGCGCTTGAGGTATCGATCATCAAGTGCAGACAGGAATCCCAGCCGACCTGATTCAAACCTCACGAGCTTGAAGCGGGTCCTCTTGTCGGTCGTAGCGGGTGGCTCTGTGCTACCATTCGCTCGAATCCAGTGACTAGCATCACGACTCCAGAATCTGCCGTTTGGAGCACGTACAGAGAAGGTGCCTTCGGAGTCGTCGAAATTGTATATCACCTCGTGGCATGTGAGGAAACTCCTCTGGTCAGCATCAAATGTGAGGAGCCCATCCGATTTGAGTGCCAAATACCTCCCATTGTCACCCTTGATTGTCATGTGGCGAGGCAAAGTTGCGGTTGCAGATACCGGAGTCGCCATTTTCCCTACACACAGATGAACGAGTCATCCTTTTATGGTGTGGTATCCTTTTGTAGTACCTATGGGCAACGTGAAACACGCACAACAGGACTGTAGTGTCTGTTTGTACTACAGTCAGCTAAGATGGAATCTAGATGTTAATTTCGTACTACAGTCAGCTAAGATGGAATCTAGATGTTAATTTTGTCCTATAAGTAGCTGGCATCCTTATCTTTACGCAACAGCATGATCACTTCAACGTCTTTCTCAACCCAGTCTTAACGCTTTCACCCTTTCCTATACGTTATGGTTGGAAGGGATGTGTGATGAGTGAACAATTGAGCTGTGATGTTCCTAAGAATCTTATGCTGTTCTGAACAATGCGAAAAGTGTACTTACATTTTTGGTCACTGCCAAGTGCATCTTTTGACGCGGAGGCATGAGTTTGCACCAGTGCTGGATTGCTGTGTCTGGAGCCTCAAACTTAACTCTAGCTAGCTTCCAGGATGCGCCATAGCATCCCCTGTGTACTTTGTTGCAACCAGGAAAACTTTGCAAGAGCTCCTCAAATGCAGCAGGAACACTCCTAGATGAACACTCCACTCATTCACGTTTAGTGCCTGCAAAGAAAAAAAATCATTCGATCACAATAAATCAAACTATTACCTGCAACCGCAATTAATCGACGTTGCACATAAAAGGCCACAACTCCACGCACAGCCGCAAGCTGACAACGAGTCACTGGAGATTGGGCATATCCATGGATGGCGATGAATCTCCAACCAGTCGAGGCTGCGACTCTTGAGAAGCTTTACGTGTGATTCCTCCCACACCACCATGCTCCCTCGCAGAAGAAGATGAGCAAGGACACTCGTCGAGGAGCTGCTGGACGGCAGAGACGTCCAAGACTGTGATGAAGATAACGCAGTAGAGGAGGTTGTGGAGAGCCATAGCTCGCAGGGTGCCAGGCGTAGATGTGGAGGCAGCGCAACCCGTGACACTCCGAGAGGCTGACCAAAAGCCTTCAAAGTTTTGCTTTGGTGGGCCGCGCATGGAGCGTTTTCCCGAGCACCTGTAGCCAGCGAGTGGATTTCGCATTCTTACAGTAGCAAGGGAAGCGAGTAGAGCTTACCAGGAGCATTTTCTCTTGAGCTTCACAGCTCTCTCGGCGATTGTGAAAGGAGCACATAAGGTGCACACTTGCTGGGATCCAATACCGCAGCGATCTGTGCAGCTCGTTCCCCACGCGCGACGTCCTGATTGATCCGGCAACCCGCAAGAAAGCTCCCCCATGCAACGTAGCTGGGATGGAACGGAAAGGTGGCGAGGAGTTCCTCTGCCGCTACCAGCTGCCCGGAACGTCCCAGTGCGTCCACCATGCACGCGTAGTGCTCCTCCGATGGCGTGATCCCGTGATCCATCGGCATGGCAACGAAGTGGCTTCTCCCTTGCTCGACTTGGCCGAGTCGGCTGTGTGCTGCCAGAATGCTCGACATTGTCACGTCGTCTGGATCCATGCCTTGGATGTGCATTTCGCGGTAGAGCAGCAGTGCCTCGTCACCTTGCCCGTTCTGGGCATACGCCCCGATCATTGCATTCCAAGCCACCAGATCCTTCTCCGGCACAACGTTGTCGAACAAGCTCCGAGCGTGTTCCAAGCGGCCGCTCTGGACGGCGAGGTGAAAGATGACAGTTAGAGCTACAACGTCGTGGCACGGCATTTGCTCGAGCACGGCTTTGGCTTCGGCGGTATGCCCTGCTCGGGCATACGCTGCTGCCATGGCATTCCACGAGACGTGGTTCTTGTCGGGCATGTCGCGGAAGAAGACGAGTGCGGCTTCGTCAAGACGATTGTTGAGAGCACAAGCATGGAAGAGGGCAGTCCATGACACTACGTCTCTCTCACTCGCTGGAAGCCCGTGGAAGATTTCTCGAGCATCATCTAGCTTTCCTCGTTGTGCTAGCGAGGAGATCATCACGTTGCAGCACACAAGCGTCCACGCCGGCATGAAGCCCATGACGCGGCTGGCATCCGCGCCGTGCCGCGCGTCACGGCTCTGTGCATACCCACACACCACAGTGCTCCAGCTCACCGGGCTTCTCTCCGGCAGCGTGTCCCTCAGCAGCGCCTCGGCGGTCTCCACCTCGCCGCGCTGCACGCAGCACGACAGCATACCATTCCACGCCACCACGTCGCGCTTGCTCATCCGGTGGAGCACACCGCCAGCCTCAGCGAGCTGGCCATTGTAAAGATAGGCGTGGCACAGAGCGTTCCAGCAGCTTAGATTCCTGGAGCTGCCAGGCATGGCATCAAAGGTGTGCTTGGCCTTCCATGCGTCGCCACCTTCACCATAGGCAGTGATCACGAGGGACCATGACGCTGCGTCACGCTGCGGCATGACGCGGAACAAGGCCTCAAGACTATCCAAATCCTGGGCGTAGGCTTGGAGCATGGCTGTCCACGCCACCACGTCACGCAGCGGCATCTTGTCAAACACATCCCTCGCTGCCACCACATCCCCGGTCCTGGCATTTGCTTGCATGGCGCAAGTCCAAGATACTAGAGTGCGCTGTGCCATGCCGTCAAAGACGCGCTTAGTACCGCCGGCGTCACCTGTCTCGGAGATCGCAAGAAGAAGTGTATTCCAGCTGATCACGTCGTGGCCAGGCATACGTTGGAACACGGTTAGAACTTCAGCCACGCAATGCCCAGTATGGGCATACCCTGAAAGGATGGAATTCCAGGCCATGGAATTGAGCTCGGGCATGGAATCAAACATAGCTCTGGCCTCGGCGGTAAGCCCCTCCCTGCTGTATGCCGCCAGCATAAGATTCCACGACACCGCGCTGGGCTGCGGCATCCTGTCCAGGACTCGCTTTGCCTCTTGCAGGAATCCATTGTGAATGTAGGCGGTGGCGAGGATGTTCCAGGAGAAGGGATTGCGCTGGGGGATGGCGTCAAACACGCGGCGGGCCTCATCCACGCAGCCGCAGCGGCCATAGCTGTGCATGAGAGTGTTGGCGAGGTAAACATTGTGCCGCTGGCTGCTACGCAGGATCTGGGCGTGGAGCCGCGCGGCACCGGCGGCATTCCGCGCGTCGCCATACCGCCGGAGAAGCCCGGCAATGTATTCCAGCATTGCTCCATTGCGGCCAAATGAATTTAGGGCAAGTGGAGCTTGGCAGCCATGTCGGCCCGGATGCTGAGGCGGGCGCTGCGCGAGCGGGAGAGCCAAATCGACGAAGACGAGGAGCAAGATGACGCCGCTACCGCCGGCACCACCAAGGAATCAGCTGGGCCGAGCATTTTCAGCCTTCTCGCAGCTCAGGTATGGTTTCTCTCTTCCTTGCTCCTAGGTTTTAGAATTCACAGAGGAACTATAGGACGGTGAGAACGAGGAGGAAGAAGAGGTGGAACAACAGGAAGAAGCAGAAGAAGCGCCTGCGATCTCCAAGCCAGATGCCAATCTAGGAGAGAAGAACAAGAGCAAGAACAAGACGAAGAAGAAGAAGAAGAACAAGAGCAAGAAGAATGACGCATCGAGTAAACTAGAGACTGACAAGGAAGAGGGGAGCGATGAGATCTTGTCCAAGCTCTTGCAGAATGTTTCAGTCCAGCAGCAGGAGATGGATAGACGAGCGGCCGTCATCTCGGTGGATGCCAAGGACTTACGGCCCAAAGAAGAACTCAGGCTCATCTTCGGCTCCAAGGCGATCCACTCGGTGGAAAAGAGTGCTCGCCAGCGGCAGGGAAGACTCTCGGCTCCGCGTAGCGGCAGGAAATGCTTGGTTGTGCCGATGGGGAATTGGCCGAGATGGGACGGAGGTGTGTCGATGGAGCTTGTTCACACCAAGGACGGTGTCATGACTTTCAGGTACTACGCTAGAACTAGCTATGGATTCTCTTTACGTGACGCTGTTTCTTGCTTTCCAGGTACGTGTACTCGGCAGACTACTTGGAAGTCCAGAAGGCATTCGAGGCATGCGTCTCCTCCCACGATCCCAACAAGATTGCGTCGCTGCTCCTGGCTCATCCTTACCATGCGGACTCGCTGCTCGCCTTGGCCGACGTTTACAAACACATTGGCGAGCACCAGCAAGCGGCCACCTTGCTGGAGAGGTGCCTCTACGCACTGGAATGCGCGTGGAGTCCCTTGTTTGATCCGCTGGCTGGAAAGTCCCGGCTCGACTACTCGTGCAAGGAGAACCGGCCACTCTTCTCGGCTCTCTTCAGCTACATGCAGCACCTGGGAAGGCGAGGCTGCCACCGAACAGCCATGGAGTTTTGCAAGGTGCTGCTGTCACTCGATCTAGACGATCCAACTGGTGCCAGGTTCTGCATCGACTACTACGCTTTGAGAGCGGGGCAGTACTCGTGGCTGGAGGCTTTCGTGGAGAGTTTCTACGACGACCAGTCGGTGGCTCTCCTTCCAAACTTTTCCTTCTCGCTGGCAGTTGCGCGCTACTATCTCGAGCAGAAGGAAGAGGCAGCTCCAAATCCAATCAGTGAAACAGTCCCGTCCTCGGATCTCTTGCAGCAGGCTCTGATGCTTCATCCTTCGGTGCTGAGCAAGATCGTCGCGCGAGCTCCGATTAAGGAGGATGCAGCGTGGAGCAAAGTGCTCAAGCACCGGCACTTTGCAAGGGCGACTTCCGGGGGGCCGAGCCTGGAGCACTTGATCAACATCTACATCGAGAGGAATTATCTCATCTGGAGAGTCCCGGAACTCCAGGCCTGGCTGAAAGACGCTGCAGTGGCCGTGTGTGAAGCGAGGGGTGGAGAGTCTGCGACCTGGGCTTGCGCTCGAGCGGAAGCATTCCAAGCTGACCACAACGAGTATGTGACCAACTTTATAACTTGTTTGGCTCACTGCTGATCTTTACTTGTTTTCAGGTATCAGCATCTTTCAGTATCGGAGTTCTCTGATAGAACACCCACGCTGCCTCCGGATGAAGAAGCGGGGGCTGCAGGAGGAGGACCAAATGTGGAGGTTCCTTTGGACGTTCCTTTGGTAGACCGGAACGCGTTTGCTGTTTTCGTGGAGTCCGTCTTCCCATGGATGAACTATGGGGGCGGAGCTAATGCGGGTGCCGCTGAAGAAGACAGTGATTAAACAAGAAATCTCGTGGGCAAAAAAAAACGAAAGAACAAGAAATCCAATGAAAGTAACATCACAAAGATTATGAGCCAGAGCAGAATCTTTTACTCTGTTTTCCATGGTTCACAACCTTGCCATGGATGAATTATAAGAAGATAGTGATTAAGCATGAATACTTTTTGATCTCCGGATGCCAGCTCACTAACCACGTGGCAAGCATATAAACTACAGCCAAGGCTAGGGTTTCTTTACTCGATGGCTAGCAGCATCAAGGAGCGGCGGAGGTGCTTGGACGATCTCCCGGATGTGTTGCTGGTGCGGATCATGTCGCGACTCCTCTCCTCGCGTCACCTGCATTGCTGTGGCCTGGTAAGCAAGAAGTGGAGGGATTTGGCGACGCGGGTCACTCACTTCCGCCTGGATTCGTCAAGTCCTGCCGCCGAGGAAGGACTCGTCCGCTGGTTCCATCCAGATCATGGCAACAATCTCCGCTACCTGGACATCGCACGCTTCCCCTGCTACCGCAAGAATGCGAGCTCCACTCGCTGGCTACAGGTGCTCGGGAAAACGCTCCACTCGCTACGCCTCCGCCGCCCACCAAAGCAAAAGTTTGAAGACTTTTGGTCCAGCGTCTCGGAGTGTCACGAGCTGCGCTGCCTCCACGTCTACGCAAGCATTGGCACCGCGCTGCCGCCAACTATGGCTCTCCACAATCTGCTCTACTGCGTCATCTTCGTCACAGTCGTGGATGTCTGTGCCGTCCAGCAGCTCCTCGAGCAGTGTCCCTCGCTCATCTTCTTCTGCCTGGGGAGTATGGCAGTGCCGGAGGAATCACACGTAGAGCTTCTCAAGAGCAGCAGCCTCGACTGTTTGGAGATTCGAAGTCGCTGTGGCGGCGCTGCCACCATTGCCATTGACATGCCCAATCTCCGGTGGCTCACTGTCAGCTCAGGGCCGTGCGTGGAGCTGCGGCCCTCGACATGCAACATCGAGGGGGTGCAGTTGCATGGACGTGTTCGCCACCAGGGACTGTGTCACTCATTGAACAAGTTAAAGTCGATCACGCTCAGCAACTCCTTCCGGAGCCCCGCCAATGTGCTGGAGCGTGTGTTGCCATTGGTGCCAAGCTTGGGTGGCGTCAAGGAGTTGAGCTTGCTTGTGGGGGATCACGACTTCCAGCTTCGCTCCTTTAAGCTCGCAGCCTTTCTAGAGCTCTTCCATGGACTCGAGGTCTTGAGAATTGCTCGTACAAGCATCAAGGTAAGTTGATTCGTGTTTAACTCACTTTCACTGATTCGCTTATGTTTTTCTTTCTTTGCAGGCGCTGAGCCTGGACAAGTGGAGCAGCAGACAATCGCCCTTGATGGTGTTCATCGAGGCAGCATTCAGGAGCGAGAGTGGTGGCATCTGGGAGAGCGACGACATAGATTTTCTGTGGGAACTCATGAGGAGCAGCGAGTGCGTGAGGCTGCTCGATTTGAGAGGCTTCGTTTACAGATATGAGCCTCCTGACTTCCGGCCACAAGTTCCTGCCGCTTTTGAGGTGCTCTCGCAAGCTTTTCCTGGTCGTATCAAGGTACATCCGTTGCTCTTTGATGTGCCTGCGCAGTGTCGGATGCTGTGGCGCACCCAGGAGGCTAGATTCAAGTCGGAGCCTCCATACACAGCAATCCAGCACTGGTGCAAACACATGCATTCTATGGAAACATCCGCATTTGAAGGCTGTGCTTGGCAGTGACAACAAAACTTAAGAACTTTCAACCTGAGAACAACAGGAGAATTTTTAGGATCGCAGGATGCCTGAGTGGAAGGCTTGCTGGTATTGTCTCACGATTGCTCCAAGAACTTTGTATGTCATGACGCTGCCATCGTCCTTGTCACGCATTCTGGGCTGGCCTCCAAAGAGATGAAAGATAAGACACATCGGTGAAGAACGCGTTCCTGACTTAGACTCGACGTCGGGAACTGTATTCTTGATTATCTTTTTTGCCTACAAACGTACTTTGTGAGTGAACCAGTGGCTCATTCACAAGTATAAAAAGATTCAGGCCACAAGCAAGGATCAATACAAAGATTTTTAGTTTCGCTTAATACCACTTTATTAAAAAGAAAAACAAGAAATCTTATCACAAGCTCTCACACTAGCACTAGTAGTACGTAACACGTACTTTGTCAATGAACCGGTGGCTCACTCACAAGTATAAAAAGATTCAGGCCAGAATCAAGGATCAATACAAGGAATTTTAGTTTCGCTTAATACCACTTTATTAAAAAGAAAAACAAGAAATCTTATCACAAGCTCTCACGCTAGCACTAGTAGTACGTAACACGTACTTTGTGAATGAACCAGTGGCTCACTCGCAAGTATAAAAAGGTTCAGGTCACAATCAAGGATCAATACAAGGATTTTTAGTTTCGCTTAATACCAAAAAGAAAAACAAGAAATCGCTAGCACTAGTAGTACGTCCTTGTGAATGAACCAGTGGCTCATTCACAAGTATAAGAATATTCGGGCCACAATCAACGATGAAATACAAGGATTTTTAATATCGCTTAATACCAAGGAAAACAAGAAATCTTATCACAAGTAGTACGTAACACGTACTTTATAGTGGCTCATTCACAAGTATAAAAAGATTCTGGACAATCAAGGATGAAATACAAGGATTTTTAGTATCGCTTAATACCACTTTATTAAAAGAAAAACAATAAATCTTATCACAAATCTCTCACGCTAGCACTAGTAGTACGTAACACGTACTTTGTGAATGAACCAGTGGCTCATTCACAAGTATAAAGAGATTCTTGCCAGATTTTTAGTATCACTTAATACCACTTTATTAAAAGAAAAAAGAACAAGAAACCTTATTGTTATTAAAAGAAAACAAGAAAACTAGATTATGATGAGCGTAACCTTTTTGATCTTTTTTATCTCACGCTCTGGCTCATTCACAAGTATAAAAAAATCTGGCCACGGCCATTCATCCCTCTTGTTTCTCTCTGTTGCGTTGCGATCGATCGAGCACAATGGCTCTCAAGATGCTCGCATTCTCCCTGCGTTGTGCTCGTGCTGCTGCTACCAAGCGGATCGTCTTCGCTGGCTCTCATGCAACAATCGCTCCCCACAATCACGTTGGCGCTCCACCCTCTTCGATGCTTCTTGATCGCCATCGCCGATTCCTGTCCACGAAGAGCAAAGGCTCTGGGATCTTCGACTTCTTGCTGGATCCGGACAACGAAGGTACCAAAATCTTGGCTTTCCTGCTGTTTGTTTTGTAGAGGACGGGGGGGGTGAAGAAGAAGAGCGCGATCAGGCAGCCCCTCCAGCCCCTCCTGTCGACGATCCAAAGGCCAGAGTGGGTGACAACTTCTCGATGGAGGAGCAGATGGAGGAGCAGGATGAGGAAATCGGCGATGAGGAAATCGCCCAGGAATCCACCGGCACCAAGGAGGAGGAAGAAGACACCGATTCGAAGGAGCACGATCAGAAGCCGGCTGGAAGCGAGGAAGAGGTGAATAAACCGACTCATCGTGAGTGATGAACGGGAGAAAGGCTCGATCTTTCTTTTGTAACACGATCGCAGCGAAGCAATGCACTTTTTTGTTCTTACAATTGCCAGCGTGTCTGCCAACGTGGCTGCCACGGAGCGGCTTCTGGCTGTATGGCGACCCGCGGAATCCCGCGCTCCACGCCCACGTCCTGCGTAGCACTCTACCTCGCCAACATGATTCCAGAGAAAATATCCATAAGCTAGGTACTTGTTTCTCAAGCACGTCGTGTCTCTTGATCTCTCAGGCCCAGAGCGGTTCACGGAGCTTCTCGCGCTTCTTCCCAGGTGCCCCACTCAAATCCACATAGACTTTGTTTCGTTAGACCTTAATCTTCAAGGTATTTTCTTTGTTTCTCTAAACTTGAAACGAATGATCACCAGGTGCTAGTAGAGAGGACTTTATTTTGGATTTCTGAATTTAATATTAATACAATACTTTAAATCTCGTGATATTGTAAGTCACCTCCAAATACTCTACTTGTCCAAACTTTTGCCCGTGAGGACACGTGTCTGCCACGTGTGCGACACACAGCCTAGGGTTTCTTCACTCGATGGCTAGCAGCATCAAGGAGCAGCGGCGGCGTTTGGACGACCTCCCGGATGAGTTGCTGGTGCGGATTTTGGCGCGACTCCTCTCCTCGCGTCACTTGCATTGCTGTGCCCTGGTAAGCAAGAGGTGGAAGGATTTGGCGAGGCGGGTCACTCACTTCCGCCTGGATTCGTCAAGCCCTGCGGCCGAGGAGGGACTCGTCCGCTGGTTCCATCCAGATCAGGGTAGCAACCTCCGCTTCTTGGAAATCAAGCGCTTCCCACGCGTCTGAAAGAATGTGTGCTCCACTCGCTGGGGGAAAACTGTCCACTCGCTTAGCATCTGGGGCACAGCAAGGCTAAAGTTTGAAGACTTTTGGTCCAGCGTCTCGGCGTGCCAGGAGCTGCGCTGCCTCCACATCTATGCCGATGTTGGCACCACCATGACTCCACCGCCGCTGCTCAATCTCCTCTTCTGCGACATCAGGAGGACAAGCTTCACTGTTTCTGCCATGCAGCAGCTCCACCTCCCTCGTCTACTTTTGGCTGGGAACGCTCGTGATGGACGCGCCCGGTACTTCTCCTCTCACCAGCCACAGCCGCGATTGCCTGGAGATAGACGACTGCGGTGGTGGCGGTGGTGCCAACGTTCATTGACATGCCCAACCTCCGCTGGCTCTTCATCAGCTCCGTCTCCATGCCGTGCGTGGAGCTGCGGCCGTCTACCTGGAACGTTGAGTGGGTGTGGTTGCATGGACGTGTGCGATACTGTGGTTTGAGCCACTCGTCGAACAAGCTAAGGTCAATCACGCTCGGGAACTCCTTCCGGAACTCCGCCAACGTGATGGAGCGTGTCTTGCCATTGCTGCCGATCTTGGGTGGCGTCAAGGATCTGAGCGTGCTTGTGGGGGATCATGACTTCCAGCCTCGCTCCTTCAACCTCGCTGGAGCTCTTCCAGGGACTCGAGGTCGTGAGAATCGCTCGGTCTAGCATCAAGGTATGCATATACTTTCTAGCAGATTGATAGTCGTCCTTGACGATGATTGATCTGGTATCTATAGGCACTGAGCCTGGACGAGTGGAGCAACAGGAAAGCGCCCTTGGTTGTGCACATTGAGACGGCGTACAGGAGTGAGATAGGCGGCTCCTGGGAGGCCGACGACGTCGAGTTTGTGTGGGAGCTCCTGAGCAGCAGCGATTGCGTGAGGCTGCTCGATCTGACAGGCTTCGTCTACTCGAATGAGCCTCCCGATTTCCAGGCGCAGGTCCCTGCCGCGTTTGAGGAGCTCTCGCAAGCTTTCCCTGGCCGTGTCAAGCTGCATCCGTTGCTCTTTGATCTGCATCCAAAGTGTGGGATGCTGACGCGCGCCTTTGCAACTAGAGTGAAGGCCGAGGCCCCCTACACAGCGATCCAGCACTGGTGCAAACGCATGCACTCGATGGAAACGCCCGCGATCGAGAGCTGCGCCTGGCAGTAAGTTCCAAAGCTTGCGAGCTTGGTGTGTAACTTAGCCTATTTTATTCGAGAAACCGTGTTTGTTCGCGCTGGATACTGTGCCATGCTACCAAGGGACAGTCCAAGCGAGGATTAAATGCGAACTACGAGAGGGGCTACGGCCGGGGTATCGAGAAGGTATAATCATCGGGTGCTGTGAATCTTTTGGCTGTTAACTGTTATCAATCAATCTCTAGAGAGACACCAAAATGTACAGTGCCCAGGATTGACAAATCCGGGTTGTGGAAGAATTTGCCATGGTCGCTCGCGTTTGCTAGCATCTGAGGCAATTGCAAGTGACTGGAACGAAGGAGCAGTGGCCGAAGGAGAGGCCGGGAGCGAAGCAATCGATCCGGTAGCAGCAGGCGGTGTAGTAGCAGTAGCGCCGGGTGTTGTCGCTACAGCACTTACAGGGCGCGCATTCTCGAAACAATCCTAGCTTCCTCCTAGCCGGCGTCACAAATCTGGTCGAGTTGTGGCTTACAGGCTCGTGGGACTGCAATGTGGTGAGGTCCGGCGCTGGATCTTCCCACGAAGAAGGTATAGCCAATCGCCTACCACTTTCATCCGAGTGATCCTGCAATGCTAGAGAGATTGATTGGGGTGCTCGTCAAACCGAGAACTTACCACCACTTCCGGAAGCGAGATGGATTGTGGAAGAGCGATGGAGAGGAGGAGTAGCGATTGGAAGACGATCATCGCAGTGATATCCATGGTGGAGGCCGAGATTGGAGATGGAACAAAAAAAAGTATAAAAGAAGAAGAGAAAGAGGAGGAAGAGGAGGAGATAGCTATGGCCGATCCTTCAACTGTCAATAGCATAGCGTTTCCAGCTGGCATTTGCTGCTGGGTGGAAGAATGGACAAGGTGAGGCATGTGGGCATTCAAGACAAGTTTTTGGACGTAATCGCACAGCCACTCGTTAGCGACTTACGTACTTTCCACGATTAGGGTTTATACGCTAGGCTAGGAGGTCTCGCGCTCGCGGAGCTATGGCGGCGGCATCGGGCAGCGGCGATGGAGGAGGAGGCGCCGCCGTGCTGCTGAGCCGCTTGTCCGAGGATCTCCTGGTCAACATTTTCTCGCGGATGGAGGAGGATCCGCGGCATTTGGCGGTGCTGGCGTGCGTGTGCCGGCGATTTGGGTACGTGATTCGGAGCTTTTGCTGGCGGAATCAGTGCATGAGGGCGCTGCCCACCATCGTGCCCGAGGTGCTAGAGCACGGCCAGGCCCGCCAGGATCACCAGGACCAGCTGGGAGAGCCAGCCGGGGGATGGGCGACTCTGTTTAGGATCTTGGTTTGCTGCCCGGGCCTCGACAGCGCTGGGGTGCTGCTAGATAGCTGGGATTTTGGGCTGGAAAGAGAGCTCGCTGGGGGTGGCGATGACGATCACACCAGGAATGGTGACGAGCATCGATCGAAGAAGCGGATCAAGCTTGTTGGAGCTGGGCCTCACGTAGCTTCCGGATCCCCCACATTCTCGAGAGAGCTGGGAAACAAGCTGCTGGCCAGCCGGTTCCGGACGGACAGCCTCTACCTCTGCGACTGGCCGGGGTGTGTCCATTCGGAGGAGCGACGGAAGTACAAGCTCTTTCGTGGGATCTTCAAGGACTTCAAGGCGTCACAGGTGTGTCGGAACTTGCGAGATCTCAAGGCCAAGAAGACTGGCGAGAGCTGTGCGTTTTGCTTGGCGCCATCAATGTGGGATATGGTGACGAGCTTCTGCTTGAGACGATCGCTCGAGTATCACGACGATGGCGAGCCTGTGGTCCGAGCTTATGTCTGCGAGAATGGACACGTCTGTGGTGCCTGGACGGACCAGCCAGCGTCTTACGTCCTGTGAGATCTTCCAGGCGCGCGGCCAGAGCGGAAGGGCAGTGCATATAAACGTTCTTCTATAGATGGTGATCCTTGACAATAGTCTTTCTTCAAAGAGATCTACGCGAACTTCGGCACTTTAGAGCCGAAGAGCAGCAGCTTCTCCTTGATGGCGTCGGCCTCGCTTCCATACTCCTTGAAGCAGAAGTACTCTTCGTGGAGCATGTCCGGGGGAACTTTGCCTTCGCTGTAACACACGGAACACAGGTTGAAGTTGGCGCTTACCTCTCGGAAGCGGGGGCCAACGATCTCGTAGCTGCAAACCGAACAGTTGATCCCGTTGTGCCGGCTCCGGTCTCGACTCTCGAGCCTCACCAGCGTCTCGAGGATGTTGCTGAAAGACAAGTCGGACGACTCCTCGAACATGTCCAGGAACTCGGGGAAGGAGAGGGTGGTGTTGTCATCCTCGCCTCGAACCTCCCAGAGCTGGTCGTCCGTGGGACGTGCATGGAGCGGCATGTAGACGGACTTGAGCTTCTTGAAGTAGGCCTTGGCGTCGGCTCGGCTTATCTCGGCTCCCAGCTTCTTGGAGGACGTCCGGCTCCTCCACACCAGCGAGTCGAACGCCACGCGCTTCCGCCGCTCCAGTGCTCCGGAACAGATCGGTGCCAGGACCGCCAGGAACATCCCCGGGTCGACTCTGCCGGATCCTTTCTTGTCGAGGATGGCGAGCGCTCGCTCGTTGAGGCTCTTGATGGTGCCTTGGAAGGTCTGCGGCGAGAGGAAGGGGAGGAGCTTGTTGCGGACGAGTTTCTCGACGTCGGCCTTGCGCATGGATCTGTAGGACGAGGTGGTGCTCTGCTGCGATAGCGGGAGCTTGGGATCGTCCAGGATCTCCTGGGTGAGCAGCGAGACGTTGCAGCGGTTGAAGCGGGTGTGCCTCTGGAAGGCTCTCATCTCCAGCGCGCAGCGCATGAGCAGGCTTGGCGTGGTCTTGGCGCTGCTCCTCAGGAACCTCGAGTGATCCACGAGAGGGATGGCGGACTGCTGGAGTGGAGCGCACTGGATGACGGGGCTGTGATCTTGCTGCTGCTGGAGCTTGTCACCACCACCACCATCACTGCTGTGGATCAAGATGTTGAGCTCGCCGGGGTTCCTCTGCAAGTAGCGCAGGTGTTTCATCTCGTCGAAGATCTCCACCCGGTTGGTCAGCTTGAAAGCCTGCTTCATGGACTCCACCGCGTGTTCTACGTCCGCCATCCCGAGCAGCGACACGGCCTTGTTGAGATGCGCTTGCCAGTGCGTGGGATCCAACGCGATGACGCTCGAGTAGGCCTCCGCCGCCAGCGAGAAGCTACCACTGTCGCGCAGGCATCCGCCCAAGTTGTAGAGCGCGTCGGTGTGGCTGGGCTGGAGCTGGATGGCGGCATGGAACTCGGCTACGGCCTTGTCCGAGTCGCCGGCGGCATGCAGCACGGACCCGAGGTCGCAGTGCGCGTCGGCGTAGTCGGGCTTGATGGAGATGGCCTCGCGGAGTGCCTTCTCCGCCGCGCGGTACTCCCCGACGCCCAGCAGTGCGCTGCCCAGGAGCTTGAGCGCGCGGTAGTGTGCCGGGCTGAGGATGGCGGCCTCGCGGTAGTGCTCGCAAGCGCCCAGGAGCATCCCTTGCCCCTCGAGCGCGATGCCCAAGTTGACGTGGATCTGTGGCAGCAGCGCGCACCACAGCGGGCCATTGCTGTGCGCGGCCTCGAGCGCGAGGGAGTAGGATTCCACCGCGTCGTGGAAGCGCGCGGTGGAGCACAGGCTGTTGCCCGAGCGGAAGTAGGGGCGGACGTCGGTGGGGCGGAGCTCGATGGCGCGCTTGAATCGGGCCAGCGCCTCGTCGAAGAAGGCGTGATCGAAGAGCGTCCGGCCCATGGCCATGTGTGCGTCGAAGGCCTCGTCCTGGGTCCTCGAGCAGTCGGCACGCTCGCACAGCTCTGCTAGGCAGCGCTGGAACGAGGAGAGATCGGTGGCGGTGAGAAGTGCGGACTTCCTGGCGTCGGATAATCGGCGGGGGCCGATCTTGGCCTCGGCTCGCCGGACCAGCGTGTCGAGATCTTCCACGATGTGCCAGGTATCCGCGTAGACGATGCCGTTGTTGGGCGATGCTGTCCAGGATGGCGGCCATGGCCCGGCCATGGCCTTCTTGCTCTTGCTCCATGGATCCGACGATGCGTTGGAGGCTTTCCTTCTCGGGGGCGTCACCGATGGAGATCGATGTGGTAGCAAGCATGGCGATGATCGTGCTGGATGATCTTCTTGCTGCTCTCCTTCGCTGGAGTCGTCGTGATCGTCATCGTGATCGCCAGCGTCGACGCTGATCGTTGCTGCGACTGGATTTGGAGGTGGTGGCGGAGGAGGATCGTCCACCTCGCCGTCGCCATCTTCGATGTTGTGCTGCTCTTCGTCGTCCAGCGTGAGGCCGAGAGCTTCGAAGTCGCGGTCGATGTCCCCGGCGCCATCGTTGTAAGTCCGGAGGAGTCCGTCCTGGCGGAGGCCCTTGTCCCCCGCGATGAACTCTCCATAGCTGCGGAACACCTCGTTGAGGATGGCGTTGATCTGTGCGTCCGTGAACTTGACGCGAGGATTCACGCCCATCACCAGCGCCGCCATCTCCTGCCGGTTGAGGTAGCCGTCACCATTGGCGTCGAAGAGCTTGAAGATCTTCTCCACCTTGTGGAGGCGCGAGTCGGGATCGAATGGGTTGTGCCCGACCATCCCAGGCATCCTTGCTCCTCCTCCTCCTCTTCCTCCTACAACAATGCAATGCAATGCTACTACCTCTCTCGATCTGTAAGATCACTTCCTCCTGAGATCTAGTGGTGCTCTTGGTGTTCTTCCTTCCAAACTTCTCCACCTTTGGTAACATAATATCATACCTGGTGGACGCAGTAACTTTGTAGTGGAAAAATTTGGTTGATTCATGTGAATTCGCAGGTGAGATGGCAGCAGCAGGGGAGGAAAGTGTGTGTGCCTGTCACAAAGCTGATGAGTGTCAGCCATGGTGTTGAATTTAATTCATTCCATAGCCATGTATGGAGTGAATGAGTGAGCAGCCACTTTCTCTCTCTCCCTCCACTTTGCAATGAAAACCAAAGCTGGAGTTTTGGATTGGAAAGAATGTCAAGTAAGCAAAGAGCAAAGCTACCTAAACGACAATGACAATGGCAGCTTTCCTTGCTTAGACTTTACACTTTTCCATGCTTCTTTCCAGTGAATTGCTGGTTTTCTTTCTCTTTTTCTTTCGATCTGAGCTTGGATTACACTCTAGCAGAGCCTATAAGTATTACATGTCTGGCAGCAGTCGGCCGTTCACCATCTGATCCAGGAGCTTTTTGGACTCGGGCCTGCGGAGCAAGCCCTTTGTGTTGCCAAGTCCGGTGCCTAAGCAGATGGAGCAAACCAGCTTTCCACGTCCTGCTCGAAACCAGGTAGAAAAGCAAAACTTTCAGAGATTGTGGGAATCCAAGAACTTATACCGTAGCAATTGGGACACTCGGTGAACTCGTACACGTCCTTGGCTCGCTTCCTGCTGAGAGCTTTCCACTTTCCAGTCCCTCCACACATATCACCTGTGGCACCGCGAATCCAATCCAGTCACAAAGAAGAATGCGTGGCTGGAACAACACTAGCAGGGCAGGACTATCAACTTACATGGCACTGCTCCCGAGCCATTGCAATTCCGGCATACTGATGGTGGTGCCTCTACTGCCGCTCTTGCTCTCCGGGACCCAAGCACTAGCATTGCGGAGATGGCGCTCACCACCGCCACTCTTCGGCTCTTACCAGCACTTGATTCTTCCGCAGTGCTTGCATCGTCTTGCCTTGATGCTGCTCGACACAATTGCGAGGAGCGTCTCCGGCAGCAACACGCGGGTGCTGAAACACCCAATCCTGCTGCGTCCATGCCTGGCCGACTCAGCTTAGAAGATATTTCCTACTATAGGATATCAAACCTTTCACCCTTATAGTGTGTATTCACAAGAGAAATACTAGCTTTCTTTCTCATCCGCAAAAGTCTTAGCCTAGCTAGAACTGAAGAGCTGCTTCTCTATCACCTGTCTTCGCTGGATTGAGATCCTGAGTTGTGCCTTGGCAGCTCGCAATGCGCGAAATATCTCATCCACTCGCTCCTCCTCGCTGTTGAAAACTTTGTCTCGTAGGCTGATGCTCGAGAGCTTGCTTGTCGCCGGGTTTTCGCTCGCTGTAGTGGAGCTCGTTGTCTCCGGTTGCATTGCAACCAGACCAGGTTCGTTGCCAGTGTCTCCTGGATTCACTTGTTCTTGAGCTTCCGTGCCTTTGTCTTGGCTCGCTTGGAGCGAGGTTGCCTCGTCTTCTGCTGCAACCTTTGACGTTGTTTCGTTCTCGATTATGTTGGCCACGCCCAGGTACTTGGAAAAGCTTACATAAGAGACACCGGGGCTAGTAGAATCGTGATCGTCTTCGCCTTGTGCATGGTTACAAGCCTGAAACTTGAAGCATCGAGATCATGGTTATAAAACATCCAGGAAATAACAACAGCAGACCTGTGGAGACTGATCAACGTTTTCTGTGTCTTCCTTTTCGAGCATGTCAGCAACATGGCGCATCCATTCGTTTCCAGTCCTGTGCTTCGAAACATCAGTTTCTCAGCAAAGTTCGCCATGGATATATTTACCTTGGCGTGCTCAACGAGCGGAGAGACCTTCCAATCTTCCCCGGGAGTTCCAGTTGTCCCAAGTGTAGCTGGCTCGGCAACGAGATACTAAATCCATCGCTATCACTGTCAAACTCAGTGTCACCTTGAGCAGCCGCGGTTGACAAGCTCCGCTGCTTGACATCAGTCTCGTTGTCCGTAGCCCAGTCCGAGTCCGAGTGTATGTTGTGATGAGTCTCTAACGTCTTCGGCGAACTTGGCTCCACTGCCGATGAAAATTCCTCCACAGTGCCTTCCTCTCCTCCTCTTTGTTCTCCTTCTTCTTCTTCTTCGTCGTCGTCGTTCCCTTGTATCGCCACAGTTAACCACGAGAATGTCTACAAACTTTACCGTACCTTCGCATGCAGCTGGCGGTCTATCTTCTGTGGAGAACTTAGCACCATCGCCATTCAGCACACCACTCGTATCTTCTAACTCCAAGTACGAGTCCGAGTACTTGCCGTCGTCATCATCCGCTGCTCTGCTAAACGACTCAAGCTCGGAGTCAGTGCTTGTCCCGCCACTTGCACTCGAGGAATCGAGCATTTTCTCCAGCGATTCCTGCAATGCCGCCTCGGCATGCTTCCGCTTCTCAATCTCTAGTTCCAGGCTGCGCTCTAGTTGTGAGACCTGCACTGCCGCACACTTTAGATTTGAGCAGTGCTTTGGTAATAGCTACTAGCTTACCTTGTTTTCGAGCTCTTCTATCCTCAGCTTGGCTGATTTTGCTGTCGAGCGCTCCGCCAAAAGCCGAGCTCTCAGGAACTCAATGGTCATAGTAGAAACATCGTCGCTCCTGGAGGGGCTCGACTTCCTGCAGCTCACCTTAGGAATGTACGGCATATGTATATGGATAGACTAACCTGCGAGATGGCGAGGGATCCAAGCTGACGCTACGCTGCATTTCACCTGAAAGTCGGGACTCGGTGGCCTTGCGCTTGTCCGATCTAGAAACATCGTTGCTCGAGCTCGTCCTTCTGTAAGTGGATCGATAGATATTTCCAATGGGAGTGAGCCGACTCGGTGCAGCCGGCTCTATTTCTATCATCCTTTCGAAGCGCTCAAGCAGCACGTAGACTCATATCTCCAAAACCGAAGATCACTTGCCTGGAAAAGAAAGGAGTTGGAAAACTTTGAGCGTCCGAGAGTTGAGCATGCAGAAAAGAAAGGACACTGCCGCTGCGGAAGCAACGCACTAGTCGCAGGAAGACCTTACGTCGCCATCACTGACAATCCTCGGCTCAAAAGAGCGCTCGCCACCAACTTGAGCTGACAAGAGTTTTATCAAAGTGGTTTTGTCGTCTTTTCTTTTCCTTTGCCCCAGAGAAGAAAAAAGTGGCAAAGAGGACGAGCGCAAGCCAGAGATCTTTGAGTGAGCAGCTAGCATAAAGTTTTGTCGACACCGGTCGAGGCAATTCAGAGGCTGGCCAAGAGTACGTATGGCGCGGAGTCACTCGCTTCCAAATCTGCAAAGCGATTTGCCGCTGCTGCCGCGCCAGTGCGCTCGTGATGGACACGGTGGCCGCTCAGCAGTGCTCCCCATGCGGCCGCGTCGGGCACAAACGGCATGAACTCGATGAGCTCCCATGCCTTTCCCAGCTCTCCCGTGGACGCCAACACACCGATCACGCAAGAGTAGTGGGCTCTCACCGCCCCCACGCCGTGATCGCCAACCATCGACGAGAAGTGGCTCCGGCTCTCGTCCCACGAGCAGCAAGCCGCGAGGACGCTCGTGTAAGTTATCTGGTTTGGAACGAGTCCGTCGACAAGCATGCGCAAGAACATGAGCATCGCGTCTTGGCCATGCCCCGAGTCTGCGAAAGCGGCAATCACAGTGTTCCACGACACTGTGTCGCGCTCCAGCATCCTCGCAAACACCCTCTTGGCGGAGCCTAGACGCCCACTCCGGGCATATCCCCCGAGCATTGCGTTCCATGACACGAGATCTCTCTCGGGCATTGCATCGAACAAGAACTGGCAGCTGCTCAACTCCATGTTGTCGACGAAGGCAGTGATCATCGCATTCCAAGCTTGGACGCACCGTGGAGCAGGCATTGCATCGAACAAGTTCTTGGCCTCCTCCAGTTGCCCGGCCTCGGTGTGTGCCGTAAGCATGGCAGTCCAGGACACGGAGTCGTGCAGCGGCATCACGGTGTGGAAGATCCTCTCGGCGTCACTCACATGTCCACCGGCGGCATACGCCGCCACCATTGTGTTGCATGACACGATGTTTCGCTGCGCCATGGTGTCAAACACGAGCTTGGCGGCCTCAAGCTGCCCGCTGGCGGCATACAACGCGACGATGGTGGTGGACGACACAACGTCATGCAGTGGCATAGCGGTGTAGAAGAGCGCCAGTGCCGCGCGGACGTCGGGCTTGGCGGCAAATGCTTGAAGCAGTGCATTCCAAGCCCGGATGTCCCACTCGGGCATCGCATCAAAGAGCCTCTTGGCGGCATCGGCAGCACCAACGTGGGCATGGGCGGTGAGCAGCGCGGTGTACGAAATGAGGTTTCGGTGTGCCGCGCGGTAGAACGCGCCGCTTGCCTGTTCCACATGCCCGGACAGGGCATACGCTGCGATGACGCTTGTCCAGGACACCACGTCGGCCTCGGGCAGCGCCTCGAACGTTCTCCTCACACCCTCTACGTCACACCGTGCGGCAAATCCCTGTAGCAGTGAGTTCCATGCAACGACGTCGCGCTCGGGCATGGTATCAAACACGGCCTTGGCGGCCTCCACATCCCCGGCGTGGGCATAGCCGGCCACCACGCAGTTCCACGACACCATGTTCCTGGCGGGCATCGTGTCGAAGGTGTGCTTGGATCGATCCATTTCCCCGTGCTCGATGAACGCCTGGAGCAAGAGATTCCAGGAGAAGACGTTGGGATGGAGTAGCAATTCGAATGCCTGCCGGGCTTGCTCCAAGCTCCCAAGCCGCGTGTACATGAGCAGCACCATGTTGCCCAAGAACACGTTCCTGGCGTGCTCGCTCCGCAAGATCGCGGCGTGGACGCGCTGGAGCTCGATGGCATCGCCGCAGCCCTTGATGAGATCCGTGAGCTCGTCTAGCCGCATTGTCATGGCGATTGGACATGATCGAAAGGAAGAGACTAGAGCCCTAGGTAGTGGTCTCGTTAGGGTTTATGGCGTTGGTTGATTATGGCGCGTCTTCGTCCGACGAGGAGGACGAGCGCATGGACGCCGTGGAGCCGGCACCTCCAGCACCGCAACCGTGAGAAAATTCCCTTCTCCTCGATCCCTATCCCTGAGGATTCGTGGGTTCGTGCAGAATGCCATCAGCAATTCCAGCGCCAGAGGAATCGCGAGTGAGGCTACCGGATGCGGCACAAGAGCTGGCTGGAATCGGGGGAAATCCGAGCAGTGGCAGCAGTAGCGCAAGGAAACGAAGCAGCCAGGAATCAAATGGGACGAGACGGCCGCCATCGCCGCGGAGGAAGGCTGCTCATAGCAGCTCGCGATCGTCAGTGGGATTGCCACCGCCGGACACTGCCGGTGGCCGCCTCATCCCTCCCCAGCTCCTCCAAAGAAGGTAGATTTCTATCTAGCGAGCTCCAAAGATGATACCATGGAATATTTTTTGATGAAAGCATTGGATCTTTGTAGGAGAAATGTGGTGACCCAAGATCTAGACAAGCTGTTCGTGCGAGGAAGAACGAGGCAGTAGAAGAGTAAAAAGCCAAGGTAACGGGGTAACGTTTTTCTACCGTGGTCAGTCGACGAGGTTTCGAATCGCGCGAAGCCAGTGGAGGGAAAGGAATTTGTATTTGTTTTCTTTTTCTTTTTTTGGCAAAATGTGGGGCAGTGGGTTAAACAAACGGTGTGCCCATTTTTTAGGGTTAGCTCTCATCTCTCATCAGAGGAGCAAAGCCATGGTGGAATGGCATCGTTTAGGTGGGGGTGGGGTAATCCATTGGAGCACCATGCCCTACTATTACTACCTAGTCTAGTCTCTACGCAACACCGCCACGACGAGGACGCGACGACGACAAGGACGACGGCAATAATCTCTTCTATCTCTTTCTCTCCTCTGGATTCTCGCCTATGTGCATTGCCGCATCGCGCGAGATCCCAGTCTCGATCGATCGATCGCGCCTAAAATTTGCTCCTGCCTCGTGGACGCCGCGCCTGGAATTTCGAAGGGAATGAGGCGATCTGGGATAGCACGAGGAGGAGGGGATTAGCGGCGATGGCGGTGATTGAGGAGGAGGAGGAGGAGACAATGGGTGGAATCTGAGAGCTTCGGATGGTCTCAGGTAAGGCAGAAATCACATGGCATATGCTGGATATAAGAATTTGTTAAGTGTTGGTTCTCGGGCAGTACGGTTGGATAGGCCTTTCTCAGTTGGCACAATGGCAAAGCCCTCCGTTCCTTCGCCGCCACCGCCACTCGGGGGCCCGCTACTGCGCCCCAAATCGGCCTCTCCTTCCTCGGCACGGCGCTCCAGCATTGGCTCTCAAAAAAATGATTCCCACAGTGAGTGCCTACTTTCTCTTTTTCCATTTTCCTTCTTCGTCGTCTCTTTGAAACCGCTTTTTTCTTCATTGGGTGTGGAGCAGTATCGGGAAGAGTGCGTGTGGCTGTGCGCATTCGTCCCAGGAATGCGGAAGAGCTTATAGTGGATGCGGATTTTGGAGACTGTGTGGAGCTCCAGCCCGAGGTAGTACTCGTGTGCTCTTTGGAAAGTCTTATATTGTTGCCAACTTGTTGCAGCTCAAGCGACTCCGACTGAGGAAGAACAACTGGGACTGTGAAACTTACCAGTTTGACGAGGTGTTTGCAGAGACGGCCTCCCAGAAGCGTGTCTACGAGGTTGTGGCGAAGCCAGTGGTGGAGGTATGTGGCACCTTCGAGTGTTTTAACACTGGTCAATCAGTCCTGGCTGTTACTCTTGCGCAGAGCGTGCTCGAAGGCTACAATGGAACGGTCATGGCCTACGGGCAGACGGGAACTGGGAAAACGTTCACTCTCGGAAGGCTCGGGGAGGAAGATAGTGCGGACAGAGGAATCATGGTTCGGGCCATGGAGGATATTTTGTCTGATATTTCTCCAGAGAACGACTCCGTTACCGTTTCCTACCTGCAGGTTGGATTCAATAATCTTGCGTTTCTTTCTCATCGTTCGATGGCTTCTGTCTGCAGCTGTACATGGAGACGGTGCAGGATCTTTTAGCTCCCGAAAGGGATAACATTCCCATTGTCGAAGATCCAAAGACCGGGGACGTGACGCTTCCTGGGGCTACTCTGGTTCCCATTATTGATCACAGAAGTTTCGTTCGTTTGCTACAAGTGGGTGAGGCTAATAGATTTGCGGCCAACACAAAGCTTAATACCGAGTCATCACGCAGTCATGCAATTCTTTTGGTACGTAAGCTTTGCCAAGCCTACAGTTTCTCTTACCGCTTAGCTCCTTGCAGGTAAATGTAAGAAAGGTAGGGCGTGCCAAGCCGGACAGGGAAGTAGTTGTACTGAGCGAGAATGGAAATTGCGTCCAGGTTGCCAAAGGGAACCGTGTACCAACAATCCGTAAAAGTAAGCTGGTAATTGTTGACCTTGCCGGATCGGAGCGAGTATACAAGTCAGGTAAATCTCAATCCAACTTCGAGCGTTTTCATGCTTCACTCCGGTGCACAGGTAGCGAGGGACATACTCTTGAGGAGGCAAAGTCCATTAATCTATCGCTTACTGCTCTTGGCAAATGTATCAATGCGCTTGCCGAAAACAGTCCACATGTCCCAACGAGAGACTCAAAACTCACCAGAATCTTGCGAGATTCATTCGGAGGTAATACTGATGTCTATCCTACTGACAAAAACTTGTGTTCTGCATTCTAGGAACTGCTAGAACGTCCCTTATTATCACGATTGGGCCATCTCCACAACATCGTGGAGAAACTGCGAGTACTATAATGTTTGGACAGCGTGTAAGGCTATTGTCTTTCTTCATCGTTTTTTGGCTTTTTTTCCTTATACGGGTGTATTGTAGGCCATGAAAGTTGAGAACATGGTGAAGTTGAAAGAGGAGTTTGACTATAAGGGCCTTTGCCGGCGCCTAGAGTCTGAGCTCGACAAACTTATTGTAGAGAATGAGCGTCAGGCCAAGGCCATATTCGACAGCGAGGAAGAGCTGGAGAAACGGCTGGAGGAAGCACGACACTGCGTTGCAGAGGCTGAAAATAAGCTGGCATCGTCTCTAGATGTGCGTAATTCTTATCCTAATCCTTATCGCATTTGCATACTAATGAGATTAAGGAATCTCAAAGCTTCTGACAGAGTAATGAGATTTGCTCCACATATAGACACTGTCAGCTGAGAGAATAAGGCATCATAAGGAGCATATTGAGGCCATGCAAAAACTAACCATGGAGCGAGCGCATAGAGAAAGACTAGAGAAAGAGCTGAGAGACAGCCCCCATGACGCGCATGAGCTCAAAGACGTAAGAACAACGCTCAGTGCTCGGGGACGCATGTTAGTTTTAAGTGCACTACTAGCTACTGACTCTTGGTTTATTATCTGCGTGAGCAGAGACACATGCAAATGGAGAAAGCTAAGCACCAAAAGGAGCTGATGGAACTATCGCAAAAGCATACTCAAGAAGTAGCCGTGCTGATGCAAACGCTGGCCTTAGAACGAGCTCAAAAGGATAATCTGGAAAAGGACTCTTCAAGTAATGTAAGATGTCGAAATCGTTTTTCTTTCTGTCGTACTGACTCGGTGGAGTCCAGGACTCGACTTTACAACCAGACGAGGCCTTGCAACTGAAGCAGCTGCTTAAAAAAGAGTCTCGTTTGAGAGAACAAGCCGAGCAGGAATTGAGGATTTTAAAATCTGGAAATTCTGCTGTTGCATCCGAGGTATTAGTTCTGATGCATGAAATGAAACGACTAAATGCAGTTTCTAATGTCAATGTCAGAACGAAATCATACTGAGCCTCCAAACGAGGCTGGACGAAGAGACCAGAGCTAGAGAGGCGCTGGAGAAGGAGATCCAGGCTCTCAAACAGCAGCTGCAAGTGAATGATGAGGTTGATGAGGTACGCTTTGATAAGCGATTATTCAGAAGAGGTCTCTGACGGGCGCCTGCATTTTTATCAGCCAAGGAAGAGCCCGGAAAAGGATGCAGGGTCTGGTGCAGACAGTCCAGCCGCTTTACTGAGGCCTCAAAGTGCCAGGAGTGAGAATGGCGGCGGCCAAAGGGCAACAATCGCTAGGCTCTTTGAGCAAGGTGAGTTTGCGAGGTTCTGGAACTTCGCTAACTTCTCCAAAAATTTCAGTTGGACTTCAAAAGATACTGTCTTTGCTGGAGTCAGAAGACATTGACGTGCGAGTACATGCCGTAAAAGTAGTTGCAAACTTAGCAGCTGAAGGTGCGTACTCTTTAATCCGAATTTGTCTTTCACAAATGGAGAGCTGATGCCAAATAATTTCAACAGAAGCGAACCAAGAAAAGATCGTTGAAGCAGGAGGGCTACATTCTCTTCTATCGCTTTTGAGAGGTTCTGAAGACGAAACTATCAGGCGTGTGGCAGCAGGTGCCATTGCAAATCTGGCAATGAATGGTGAGTTTGTAGGCATGATGAGGTTCTCTAATTTTCTTTCCAAACTGTGCTCCAGAGATCAATCAGGAGCTGATAATGACGCAAGGTGGCATTGGGCTCTTGGCCAAGACGTCTGATGAGGCCGATGATCCTCAAACTCTTCGAATGGTGGCAGGAGCCATAGCCAATCTGTGTGGGAATGGTGAGTAACTATTTTCCTTCTTTCTTCCGAGCAAGTTCTTACCCGTCTTCCCCTCTTTTGCGAAGATAAACTTCAAATGAGGTTGCGAGAGGAAGGTGGCATCCGGGCTTTGCTTGGCATGGTAAGATCGAGACACCCAGACGTTCTCGCTCAAGTTGCCAGGGGCATAGCCAACTTTGCTAAGTGCGAATCCAGAGCCGCTGCCCAAGGTATGACTTTGCCATTTGTAAACTCAATGCTGACTTGGAGTGCAATGGGAAGTGTCTGGAGCTTTTGCAGGCTATCGGAACGGCCGGTCTCTACTGATTGACGATGGAGCATTGCCTTGGATAGTGGCAAATGCCAACAACGAAGCATCTCCGATCAGGCGGCACATAGAACTCGCGCTATGTCATCTGGCACAACACGGTTAGTCCTTTGTTCATTCCGACTCGCAGCCTCTAACTTGTCGTTCGCAGAGGTGAATGCCAAAGATTTGGTCGCAGGCGGCGCTCTCTGGGAGCTCATTCGCATTTCGAAGGAGTGCTCCCGGGAAGACATCCGCAACCTCGCGTTTAGAACGCTGAATGCCAGCCCAACGTACCAAGCCGAGCTGAGACGACTGCACCTAGCATACTGATTGAGATTGAGATTTTTGGATCGCCACCTTTTCTCGCGTGTAAGTATACACTTGTTCGAGCAGCAGAGCACAGCCCCATGGAGCAAAGTTTTGGACATGTTCATTTTTTGGTGAAGAGAATACAAAAGCAATGGATTGTAACTCGGGTTCTTCCTCCTTTGAAAAGAGGAAGAAGCTGAAAGGTTGTTAGATGCATGATTGCCATAACCCGCAATAATAGCTCAATTAGGGCATCATATCTAGGTTTAGATGGAATGAGATCGTCGGATATGCGCAAGGTAATTGCTGCTTTCCTTCTGGTATGGGTCTCGCTCTCGCTCCTCTTCGTCAGCAATCTCAGTCGACATCTCCAGCGCCAGCGCCCAACACCATCTAAGTCGCCGCGATCTCCTGTTCCACGCTCTCTGTCCCTAGACGGGCGTGCGTTTTGTAGCGGGGGCACTTGCTTCCACCGGCTCAGCCGAGGAATTTGCATCTCCGCGTCCGAGGTAAAAAATCGATCAATCGTCATGTTTTCGATTGCATTCTTCTATCTAGGTGCGCGTCTGTGATGATCTTCCGACTGGCTTGCCGAGGATCCTGCGTTTCGAGGGCGAGCGAGTGACCCTCCCAGTTGTCTCAGGGGAATGTAGCAGGGCATCGGGAAGATGGATCACAGGCACGTCCATGCTAGCAGACCAGAGATTCCTCCCTTACCACAAGCCAAATCCTCACCACGAGGCCGAGAAGCTCATCCCGGCCACCTTACTGGCACACCACCATCTCAAGAACAGCACCATGCTCTACTGGTTTGCTTCTCCCGCAGACGTGTCCGACTGGGCCAAGGGATTTTTGCAAGCCATGGCTATGGAGGACAAGGTGGAGTATCTTCAACTCCCGCAACAGCACCATGAATCCATCTGTTTCCAAGATGCCATACTCTTCTCGCCTCCAACAGACGTTCGCTACGTTCCCTCCCACCATCACAACTCGTGGCTCCGGGACAAGGTTCTCGGCTACTGCTCACTGCCAATTGTGGGTAAGCTCGCTCTTTACGCTTGGGTGTGTGTGTTGAATCTTTAAATGCATATAGGTGAACGTATCGGCAATCCGGGTACCAAAAAGAGTTCTTGTATTGGATCGCAATGGGCCGCGGCATTTAGCAAACAAGGATGAGGTACGTGCGACATTCTACCACATTCCTCTCGTAAACTCTGCGTTTTCTTGTAGATTGTCCGCATAGTAAGTCGAACTATGAAAGTTTCTGCTGTGAATGACTTTGCGGGGACTGGCTCCTTCTGTGAACAGGTACTATCAAGTGATGGTCAAAGGCGTGTTAACTTTTGTTTCCCAGGTATCCAAAGTTGCCGGCGAGGAGTTTTTGATTGTCCCTCACGGCTCACAGAACGTCAACCTCTTATTTGCTCCTCCTGGTGCACGAATCATTGAGGTTGTGTGTCTCGGATTCCTTGCTTTCCTCGTCGCTTGAAAAGCTCTTTCTCTTCACAGGTGTTTCCATACCTCTTCCAAAACGACGCTCTCAGAAACTACACACACGCTGCACAAGTCCATGTGTATCCTCTCCTGGGAACACTTCCTCCACGAAACTTTATCATGCGTTTTTGGTCGTTGCTGGGCTGGGAGATGTGCTACCACTGGGTCCGATGGTGTAAAAACTACTCTCGCCAGCAGCCTATTTTTGCCGACATTGGAGAGCTCCAGTCTTTACTCGAATCATTTGCTCGGAGTTACACAAGGAATTCGAATTCCATCCATTGAGTTACAAACATGTAAGCTTGTAGATATGTACTATAAAACTTGTTCTTTGCTCATAATTTGCTCTTTTACACGGAAGTTAAAACTCTTTAGGCCCCAAGAAGCTGAAACTATAGTTGTAGAAGGTTGTAGAAGTTTGCACTTGAGGCCTGCCTCAAGTGCAAACTTCCACTGCTTGCACCTTCTTACACCCTCCCACAACCTCCTCACCCTTGGGAAGTTCGTAAGGTAGCATACGATATAGACTGTGGATGCCTGTTCTCTCTAGCTCTTTAACAAGATTTAGTTAGTAACAGAAAAGTAATTATAAAATAGTTCTTTGCCTGAAATGCGCATTGTTGGCCCGCGCAAGAGCTTTCACTTTATCAAATCATTCCAGCGTGTGTGCGAGTAATCTGACTGATGAGTTTGTCCACCTCACGACAGAATTGATAAGCCTTCGAAAACGAGGCAGACAACATTCAACAACATTCTCTTCTCAACAACATTCGACAACATTTCTGCAGTCTCTCATCACACGCCAGTGACAAAACTCTCCCTACACAGACATCACACAAAATGCGCCTATTAGATGTTGCTTTTCGCCATTCAAAAACTATCAGAAGTAAATCAACACTCTCTTACTAACTTTAGAGTTTTGGTGACCAAACAAGATCTTGTACAATAGCAATGGGAAAAGTGCTAAGCCCTGAAAATATAAAAGTCGGATTTAGAGCTGCAGTCAACAGCATGAACACTAATTTTGGGCCTGTTGCTATTGTGGACGATTTGGAAGCTATTAGAGATGGCAAATACAAGCATGGAAACATTATTAACTGAGGTTGTGCTTCCACTCCGCTACTAGTCACCACCAAGTTCAACATTACCATCACCAAGTCAACCACAAGTCTCAACAGCACATCTACCACCAATCCCAACACCAGCAGGTCCAAGTCGGCCAATAGTCTCACCACCATCACCAGTCTTTCCACCAGCACTATGCCTGCCACCAGTCTTTCTAAGAAAATGTGGGCAAAATCCTCACCTCAGAAAGTTGCAAAAGCTCAACAAAAAGAAGTCAAGGCTCGTGAAGAAAAAGGAGCAGTGGTTGAAGAAACAACTTGCAGCTGAGGCATTTGAGGAGTGAAAAAAACAAAGTAGCTGAGAAAGCCCATGTTGCTGAGGAGAAAGCGCTGAAGGCAAAAGAGAGTGACGCTCAACTCATCGCAATTACATATTTTGCTAAAAGACTTTAGCTCCATGATCTACCAGTCTCTCGAATTTGCCCATAGATTGAATTTTGGAGGAAGGTGACACAGTGTACACAGGTCTGCGGAAAGGTTGAGTGACGCTCAAGAGAAAGAAGAAAGAAGAAGAAATAAGAAGAAAAAAGCATTTGCATGACGAGAAAAGTCTAAAAAAGAGAAGGTGACAAAAAAGAAAATGCTCAAGCAACTGGAAGACAAAGAGGACTTAGGAATGAAGCTGTTGTGGAGAAACCAAAACGAAGGCACCTCGATAAAGTTCTTGATTCTCCTAAAGCAAGGCAGCTCATGGAGATAAGACGCCTCTCTTAACATGGTATGAGTCTAGCCACATTCACAAATCTATCTAGGCTAGCAAATGGCTTTTTCTTGCTGATCCAAACCCAGATCTACATCTTCTTCATTATTTTCAAGTAGATTCTGAAGCATTTCTTGAACTTTACACACAAGATGCTTGTAAAATATTCCTCATACAGCTTGACCTAATTTTTAGAACAATTTAATGTAATAATAAATATCAATTATAGACCTGTATATCAGCTTTCAGCATATCATCAGGGATGAATCCATTCTTCACTATGGTAGCAAGTAGGATCTCCAATGCAATCACAGTTGGCTCAATTATGTCATAAAATGGTGGAACATTTTCTTATTAATACTATCAAAACATTTTAGATATTCCAGCTGGGTGATTGAATATTTAAAACATGTAATAATAATAATCAAATCTTATATTGTGAGTGCTTTGGATATGGGAATATTAGGTTTAAATCCTTGGTTATAAACAAGAATGGATAGATTAGATTGTGTGTGTCTGTGCTGGCCAAATGTACAACTACGATGCTGTATATTAATATTAGCGTAGTAGGATTTTGGTAGCTGTCGGATTGGTTTCAATCTGGACCACTCGCTCTTGTATATAAACTAGGGTTTTTGGGCTAATTGATATACACATTTTCTATATTCTCTTTCCATATTCCAAACGCTCACATTGGTGGAGATGAGGGGCATCTTTGATTATCCCTGAGAAGTGCTTGCATTTGGGATTTTGGTTTAGATCTAACTTTTGCATTGTCTAGATCAAACTTTTTCCATTTCCTTTCTTTTGTTCTTTCCTTTCAGGATTTTGGTTTAGATCTAGCTTTTTGCATTGTCTAGATCAACCATTTCCTTCTAGCTTTTTGTCATTTCTCTTCTTTTGCTCTTTCTTTTTCGTTCATCTTAATGGTAAATCAATAATCTCCTCCTTTGACTCTAGAGCAGCAGTTGGTACAATTGCTTGATGTTATGTGCTTGCAATTAAACAACCAAACTCAGTTGATGGTAGCATTCACGGCACATGGTACAACTCCTCCTGCTCTTGGTGCCAATCCTCACGTTCGGCCAGAGTTCTTTTGCGGGAATCTTGGGGATGATGTGTACCATTGGTTTGATCACTTCACGGTGATTGTTACATATCATTTTTGGGATGATGCTTGACGTTTGCGTGAGTTTCCCATGTGTCTCTAAGGGATGGCATTGTAGTGGTACAATGGTTTGAGCGCAGCCACTCGTGGGGATTGGAGTGTTCTCCCAAACATCTTCAAATGCGCCTTCGGACATGCCGACAACTGTGATGATGCCTTCCAACAATTGCATCATTTTCACCAAGGGCCATCTGAGTTAGTGATGCAATTTGGTGTTTGTTTATGAAGTCTTTTTCTTTGTGCGGAGCCAAATATGTCAGAGCGGGTCAAGCTAGGAATGTTATGGCCAACACTTTCTCAAGATCTTGTCGGACTTATGCATGCACTTGCTCCTGCCACCCTTGACGATGCCCTTCACTTGGCTGTGAGACACAAAATCCCTAGGCCCCAAAGTGGAGCCGGAAGGGTGCTACATGGTAGTGGCCGAAGCGAAAGCCAAACGAGTGTAACACATTTGGACTAAAAGCTCCGACTTGATAGGTTGAGAGTGGGAGTGGAACTCCTCAACAAAGTGCTCAAGGAATGAGCACGAAGTGAGCAATAAGTGAGGTTCTAAAAAAGGGACCCAAAAGGACAAACACATGACATATGGGAGAGTCCTAGATGGAGTCTTAGATGGACCCGAGATGGAGTCCGAGATGGACTGAGATGGAGTCCGAGATGGAGTCCGAGATGG